AAGCATCCGATATATCCACTCGGCAATCCATTGGACCATCCATCTAACCATAAAGCATTCATTCAGACATCTAATCACCCATAACCCATCGATGCATCCGTTCATTCATCCCTTTTGCCGTCCATCATCAAGCCATTCATCGAATCAATCATTCATCCTACAGTCTTTTCAACCATTCATTCAGCAAACCATCCAGCCATCTACCCATCCATCCAGCCATAAATTCATCTATCCACTCTTGGTCTATCAGTCCAATCTAAGCATCTTTCTATGCAGCCATCTGACCTTCCAGCTAGCCCTTGGTTCATCTATCTACGCGCCCCCGGACACCACAATCCATTCAGCCACCTATGCATTCATCCACCCATTAATCCGTTCACCCATCCATACTTCGATCCATCCTTCCAGTTATTCATCCAGCGATCCATCGGTCCAGTCATGCATCCTTTCATTCAGTCATCAATTCATCCAGCTATTCATCTCTACATCCAGTCAACCATCCAACTATTCATCGATCCATCCTTCTAGCCAGCCATCTGAGTTGCACATGGACTGAGGCATAATTAAGGTAGATAACTGTTCGTACAATGCAGACTTTCGGGTGTCGGCCTTAAATCTGTTGGCTTTTTGAACTTTAACTTTTTAAAATGTTTTGAACAATGTAATTTTATTTGAGATTGTTCAAGTTATGAAAAGCAATTCTTGAAAATTCAAAACTAATCTCTCAAATTTTTTTTGCGATAATACCTAAATTGAATGCTTAGTTCTGGTTGAGGGCTGTTTTAGTGCTTTGCGTTTTTAAGGTACCGAGCCTCTTTTGAGTCTGTTTAGTTCAATCGACGACATTTTCAATTTGTGAATTTGATGGCAAACTCGGAAATCTAATTTATTCTTTGTTTTCTGTTAGTTTTCGTGTTTTTCGGTACAAAATCAATCTTGTCAGGTAGACAGCTCCAACGTTTTGAAAGCCTCGCATCTAAAGCAGGTAGGATTAATGTTTGGTCCAATTTCTGCTGTGGTGCTCAATAGTTTGCTTTGAATACTGTAATAGAAGTTTTTACAATACCTATAGTTTTCGGTCTACTTAGGGGTTTCACTGGCTAATTAAAGTTCTTAAAGAGTCATTTTACCTTAATGCGGTTTTTGTTCTGAATCCAGTTAATGATTATCAGGCCAATTTTGTTTTTGAAATTATTAGGCAATACTTTTTGGCGCGTTTTTTTTGTTTTCAAGTTTTTTCTTCACTTCGGGTTCAATCATCCTTCACTTATTCCGTTCTTCTTGTTATTTCAGCCGATGATTTCATTTAGCTTGTGTGAAGCAACGTTCCTGATCAAGAGTAATCAACGTAGTGAGTACTCTTATATAGGTCTTAGTGATTTTTTGGTGTATTTTTTCACGAAAAATCTTCAAATTTGTTATTTTACGAATCAGTTTTTCTAAATTCGGTGGCCCTTTTGGTATGTTTCCAAGCCTTGGCAATTTAATGGCATCTCTAGTGATAATTCTCAGGTTTGCCGCGGAATTAAAAGCGGAATCATTGATCCAGTTTTCTCCAACTTGGTCAATTATATGACAAAGGTATCAATCATGAAGGATTCCGAAAATACAAAGAGCTTCAACGTGATTTGTTTTTTCCTTCGAAAGATGAAAATTGATGTAAAAAACGGTATGTTTTTTTTCAGTTTCTTTGAGCTTATTGATAAGTTTTTGCTTGCTTTGTATGAAATTTTTTTAACTTTTCGAATTAAATTTGAATCAGGTTTTTGAAATTGGTGTCTTGTTTCTGTTTTCATCATTTTTAGATTGCTAGTGGTACGAAGCTGCGCTCTTCCTCTGAGTTAAAATTTTTTAAAATTTAAGTTGTTTCAATTGTCTCCTTGTAGTGAGCAATGCTCTTAACACTGTATGTCGGTCTTCACTTTGTTTCTTTTTAGTAATTCCTGGTTGAGGAAAAGAAATCGATGGAAATATTTTAAAATTTTTCATCAAATCAAGGAAAAGCGTGGTTAATTTTGAGAAAATGGCGTCTTATTAGGAATCGGTGTTTTTCATCCGCCCATTACTGCGGTTTACTCTGCTCGCAATTTGACGTTATCAGAAAAATTAATCGTTGGAAAAAAAAAGAAACTGCTGGGACATAAACATTGAAGTACCGCATATTAGTCGAAGTGAATTAAATTTTCGGTGTAATAAATGGTCGATTGATTCAAGGCGTAGGCAGTGGAACATCAGTATGGCAAGAAATCGACCAACAAAGATGTCGAAAATAGACTTCAACTGCCAAAAGGACTAGTAAGAATAGCCTGTTGCCTCACATAATGCCCAAACTTTTGATCACAGTTCCTTTGAGAGACCGTTTCAAATAAAAAACAAATTCGAAATGAAAAAAATAATGTTTGGTGTATCTTTTTCAAGTTTGTGTGTCAAGAATGTCAGAACCAAATGAAACAGAATTGTTACAATTGTTTACAATGTAAATTAATTATATTTTCTCATTTTTTGATGCCCGAGAGCTTTAAGTAATGTTATACAGAGGACAAAAGCAACACAAAAATGCTTTTTTTATTGTACCCTTCAAGAATGAAGGTACGAATCGCACAAGAAAGACGCTTGGCTTTGTTCTATAATTTAATTTAACCTTCCTTTTAAAAAGGATATTGCAACCGGGTACTAACTTTTTCCCCTTTAAAAACTCCTTAGCTTGCTTCATTGTTCCAAACATTGTATTCGGGTGTGTTCTTGTTTCTTGTGTTCAGGTACCAGCATATAAACAGCTGCTTAAATCGAGTGATATATTATATTAATGCTCTTTCAGTCGTTATTCGAACGACATTTTAAAAATATTGAAACGTTACCCAAAGTCGAGAAAAACCGATTTGAAATTTTCGAATTTTTGTCTAATTTCGAACGTTCCTTCAAAGATAATTAATATTTAAGGCTAAGATAACTTGATTTTTGAAGCTTCATCTAGCGCTTCCTTGACAATAAAAATTTTTTAGCAAGTGGTATCATGCTCCGCTTCCCATCTGTGTTGAGTTATAGCAAAAGTAACTGACTGTGCTCAAATGCAAGTAGCACACGATGTTCCTACTACCTTCATCATAGCAAAAAAATCATCGAAAAATTGTTTGATAAGTGCTTGATAAGTTATATTTAAATTCTTTTCGAAATCTGAATCATAAGTGGAAGGGCTGTAAAATGATACCTCAGTTGACTTTAAAATTGTTCAAAACAAGGCTGGTCAAATTCAGCTGGAATTAAATACACCCTACGCCATAGTTCTTTCCCGCGCTTTCCAGTGTTCGGAACAAAAATTTTGAGTGGAACAAAAAAAATTAATTTCATTTTTTTTTAAATAAGGTTGCGTTTGATAGAACTGTTTTTGAAATCAAATTAATATACCTGAAGAAACCTTCAGATAGGGTTTAAAACCTTATTTTATTTCAGGTGTTATAAAAGGTATTGAAATCGACCCATTTTTTTTCAGATTTTATTGAACAAAAACTTATCTTTTGAGCAGCAGCCGGCCATTCTTGAAGCAAGTAGAACATTAGTTGAAAGAAGCTTGACAATGTTAGAGGTTCAGTTTTTAGAAGATTATTTGCAATTCGTTTGCTAAATGGAAGGCAAATTAAAAAAAACTGCAACTGCTGGCGAAAGTCAAGCTTCATTTTTTATTTTTCAAAACTAGATTTTTGAATTAGAGATTGCTCAGTGATATCAAAAAATCTGAAGTTGGGAAATTTTTACGAAAAACGTAAGTCAGAAGAGATTCGAAGAAGTCAAAAGCTATATATTCTTTTTCTTGTGATATTTGAGATATTAAAAAATTAGCCATTTTTAAGAGTCGATGAACGTTGTTCAGACTTTTATATAGGTCATTTTTTTTTCAGGAGAAGTCTTTAAATTTGTTCACGCTCAAATTTACTTTTTCGAGGTTTGAAACAAATGACTCTTTCATTTTTTAAAGTTCCGTTCATTTCCTTAGTAGGAAGGCAAGATCCACTATTGAACAGCAAAAGTTCGAAAATAGAGTTCATTTATCAGATTGTAACTTCGAAAATAGAGTTTATTTATCAGATTTCACAGCGAAACAATCTTTACCTATTGATCAAAATGTTTCAAATTGGGCCAATTTCATCAAAAAATGTTAATCATAAATTTTTCTAGAAATTCCAAGAGCTGTGAGACCAGTAGCGGATTTAGGAAGGGGCTGGGAGGACGCCCACACCCCCCTCAGAAATTCGGGTCCCTGTCGACCCAACGTCCCCCTTGTACTATTTTGAGATATCCATTTTTGGCTGACTGACCTTAAAATTTTTCTAAAAGCGCCATCGGCGCCAACCTATACTAGTTTTGAGGCGGAGCGCGCGCCGAAAAAATGCAATTTTTTGGTGGAAAATTTCCCAAAACGCTTAAAAACGCCTTTTTGGTATTTTTTTAGAAATTTACCTGCGGCGCAGAAAATTGGGTCAAATTAGGGTCTTTATAATGGTTTGGGAGAGCTCAGAAAATCAATTTGGTCGACCTAAAAAAAGAAGGTCGACAAATTTTTTTCAAAATCAACCCCCCCCCCCCTCGAAAAATTCCTAGATCTGCGTCTGTGTAAGACCATAATTTCTGTCGTTGAAATTCGAAAATTGAGAAGTCGTATTTTTTTGTTTACCTGCGTTCATTGACTTTTTTCCAACTGTCTGCTGGCTATTTGTTTGGCTGCAGGAGGAAGGTGTTTGAATTATTCATGGCTTACTCTGTTGTGTCCTGTTATTGCCGAATTTTTCAATTATTGAGCAATGTAGCCCCCCTCCCTTACAACAGTGCTCGGAAATTTGCTTTCAGAGTGGACGTTTAAAAAATTTTCATAGCCTTAGGTAGAAACTGAGGCCTTGGGTCGGCTAGCTTTTTTATTTAGAAAATCCGTAATCATCAATGAGTTTTGCATTTCGTGAATTTTGCCGAATAATTGTGAGTGAGCATGAAACTTGTTTAAATTACAGGCTCTGTGTCAAATGGAGTTTTCTCTCCAAATCTTTCCGACAACGGCCTATCTTCACTCAAAGAAGCAAATTTGGCTACTGAAACTGGACTGGTAGTTCTGGACACAGTAGACGCTCTGGCTGCTCACTTTAGAAAGCGAATGGAGGCACTTCAGAGTGGAAGTGTGACACTGACTAGTCTGTTTGAGATCTACTTGGGGTTCCTCAGGGCAAATCACTCGGAAACTCTGTTGCAACAGGCATTTGCGTCCATGCGGCTCCTCAATAGCAAGGTATTACTGTTGATATTGCATTACTAAAGCAAGCTACCCGAATTCGAGAAAAACATCATGACTATAGTCTTGTGATTGTCAACAGAATGATTTTAGAATCAGTCAAGAGACTGATTGCAGAAAATGTCCAATTTTGTATCTGGGATCGGTAATTTTTACTAACCCAAAATTGTGAAATTGTACATAAAATGCAAAATATTATTGCAAATGTTGAATAACCTTGTATTTGTCTTGTTTCAGTTCCCAATGATGCTGTTCAAAGGCGATCCCTCCCTGTGTGGTCGAATGTGTTTCGAGTTGATTCACTGTTTCTCAGCCAGACTGGAGTCGACCAGGTACCACAGCTGCATGTTGCTCTACCTCCTCATGAGGAACAACTTCATCTTCACTGCCAGACAGAACTGCACCAGGGTCCATTTGCAGGTAATACATGGGACCATTCTCATGGCACAAGGATCGAATCCCACAAGGGCCAAATCTCTCTAAAGCTCACGGCTGAATTGTCATGTTTTCCTTCAGATTTTTGATTTCTGACTTTGATTTCAATTGGTCATTACTGTCTGCCATGAGGTGCTTCTGCCATCAGTGATCCAGTCAGGTTAAAAATAAGACCAACGTTTCATGTAGGAAAGGAAATGATCAACCTGACCTGAATGAATGTACTTAAAAGTTGATTTGATTTTTTAGATTTCCAAGTGAATTCATTCAATCCCATCTGCTCCTAAATTTTAAGTTTTAACTAACAAAGTGAATATGCTTTCATGTAGGACATCTGATTTTACTAGTTTTAACAGAAAATTAGGCTTGAAATTTGTTCACGCTCTTTATTACATATTGTTGTTTGAATTTTCGATTTTTCCAAGTTCACTCGAAGTTCATTGGCAAAATGAGAGATAAACTACGCTCTTGCTATAAAATTTCAAATAGTATGAAAAATCGAGTTTGTATTTTTAGTTGCCATTTCAATTTTTTATTGGAGGAATTGAGATAGTACCTATTGATCCAGTTTCTCAAATCGGTTTGGATTGATAAAAAAAATTCAATCAAAAAAGTTAATTGAATTTGAAAGAGCTTTAAGGTGGTGTATTTTTTGTGAAACTAGAAATCATTATTTTTTGTCCGTTTCCTTGAGTTTGTTAAATTTTGTAACTTTCTATTGACTATGTTTTCAAATTATGAGTTTTGTCAAAAAAAAGCGTCATTCATAACAGATTCATTTGAAGTTAAGTGAGCTTTATTCGCATGTTATTTGTACGTAATGCGAAAATCAAAATAAATTCTGGTACTTCTGGTAGAAATATTTGTACTTCTGGTTTCTTTGTTCCTTTTTACTTTAGCCATCAGCGTGGTGTATTAGTACAAATTATTTTTTAACTAACTTGCAAATAAAAGTGTTAATTGATAGTGGAAAGTGTTCACTTAATTGGTGGCACTTATGCTATAATCACGCTATAAACTTATGCTATAAATTTTGTAGCTTATGTTCTCTGCTTTATTTGTGGCTAGTGTTTCTGATGTGCTTAGCGTGCGTGGCTGAGTGGTGAGCGCATGAGACTCACAATCTCCAGGTTGTAGTTGGTCGCAGATCTAGCCGATTTTTTTTCGAGGCTTATTTCGACATTTTTATTTGCCTCAGTACAATTTTCCGCCCTCTGTTGGCTCTCTCTCAAAATTTTGTTTGCAAAAGCGAGCTGGCGTGCGTATTGCCATAAGATCGTTTACTTAACGAATATCGCACGTTTAGTGTGAAGATTTCGCAACGCGAATAAAGTAATTACCTAATTTCAAGTGTTAATCGACAAAGTTTGTGGCATAAATCTGCGGCGCACAACTCCACTTAATAAGCCTCAAATTTAATTTTTCTGCTCAATAAACAGCCAACACCATAAAGTTATTTGTGAAAAATCTCAAATAATCTGCTCAAAAAGGTATTCTCTGCTCAAAATTTTATTTGAAAAAACTTCTCGCAAAAGTTAAATCCGACGCCTGAAAAGCAAATACTGGAGAAAGGTTAAGATTTAAATTGAAAAAGAAAATCAGCATGTGTCCCGCAGATTTAAAATTTTACCGCAGAAAGTACCGCATAGTTAGTTTAAAAAATATCCGCAGTCCGCATCGCATAATTTAACTACTTATGCCCTCAGATTTTTGCCAATCCTGTGTGTGGAGTTGATGAAGTTTGTACTTCCATTAAACAGCATGCTCAGCTACATCTGCTTTGTTAAATATCATTCTTTGCTGCTTGATATATAAGGATGTAAAATGTGTAAAACTAGTTTAAATAAACCAGGCTTGACTGAGTGATTAGGACACGCAAAATTTTGTATAATTGTCCCGTCTCGAATACCTTAGTCTCAGTAGTTTTTTACTTAACGAATATCGCACGTTTAGTGTAAAGATTTCGCAAAGCGAATGAAGTAATTACCTAATTTCAAGTGTCCTTATTGTTTTTTCATACATTTTCCTTTTTTTGTTTCGACTTTCGAAGAAAACGGAATATTCATGCTCGGTGTGGTTTTTTTATTCCGTCAATTTTTGCTGATCGAAATAATAGTTTTCGCCAAAAAAATTTTATACCCCATTGAAGATATCGAGTTCTTGAGTTCAAATGTAAAAAGATATTTTACCTGGCGATTATTTTTTGTAAAGTTCTGGGGGTTTGAAAATTGCCAAATTGGCCCAAGTTCTGGACCAAATTATGCGAGCTTTGAAGAATTTTTTCATATTGCTGAGAGCGTAACGCGAAGTATTTATGCGTGGCGAATTATCCAGCTCAGCAAAGTCGTTCCAACGTGAATTGAGGCTAGCTAATCAGATCGATCGTATTTATTTCGTACGACTCAACATTTCACACTTAGATATTGTCCAAAATTGATAGGTTTTCAATCTCTTCCCCAAAAACTATTCGATATGAATTAAGGGGTAGTCGGAACATTCAAGGGCTTTGGCATGATATACGAGCAGTCTTGTTTGCCGTTTAAGCTTATTTGAAAAGGCTTTTGTTTTTATCTAAAAATAGATGCAATATGCGATGAGTTTTGTGCCTTCTTTTTAAGTGTAGGGATCGGATCGCCTTAGTTTTGGACGCGTGAATAATCGGCGTACAGTTACAGGTTCTTGCAAAACTAAATTATATATTTTTTTTGCAGATAATTAGATTTGTTGAATTGAACTAAGATTCCTTGTCTTGGACGATCACTTTTAATGCAGTCACTAAAACGCTAATTGACTGAAAGTGTGAGTTCCAACTGGCGTAATCCAGAGTTGTATCATCTTATAAATATGAGTACCATTTGCAGAGTATCGTTGCGGTGTCTCAACTGGTGGGTGACATGTCAGTCACCACTAATCCCAAGTTCCAGGAGTCTCTGGCGTTGGTGAACAACTTAGCAGCAAGTGATAGAGGTAATACTAAATCCATTGCTCCCCCCTCCTCCCCAACCACATTGAACATCAATTTTATGATGTGAGCAATAGGTTTTACAAGATTGTTTATTGGGACCATGATTGTTTGGATTTGGGTATTTCGCCCACTTGGTAAGATTGATTACAATTGGGTAGTGCTACTAAACGAGTTTTAAGTACATTTAGCATATAAGAGATGAGATTTATATGAATCCAGAGGCATTTTTAGTTGTATTTCTTGTTATGTTAATTGTCTCCGCTTAGCAGTTTCCATTACGTGACCATTTTCCTATTTTTCAAAAAAAATCTATATAACTCAATATAGTTAACCTGAAATGGGGGTTCAAAAAATCTGGCATCGTGGTGAGTTGTGAAAGCTTAAGAAGACTCAGTTTCCTGTGATATTTAATGACTTGCGCTACATTAAGTAACCAGGATTATAATTCATTGTTGAATCATCTTGTTTGCCCCGCACAAAAGATCTAGATTATTCCTTTTGCGCGATGTTCTAAGAGGGAGATAATGTGGTTTATTATAACTGATCTCTCAAATATATTCCCTTGTAGATTTCATATTCAATCTTTACACTTGGGAAATCGGTAGGTTATAAATTGATTTAAATTTCTTAAAAATTGGGTTTCCCAAAACGTAAATAAAATTACTTTTACAGTTATTAGGTATCGGAATCATCAACTTAACAGATTTGTACATATTTTTTCACATGCAAAATTTAGTAAGACCATCTTTCACTTAGCTACAACTTGTATTTTGTAATTGAACTAAACGGGTGAGAACCTGGAAAATATCATTTTCTCATTTTTTGGCATTTCATTTTTTTTACCATACTGCTAGTTTGAAAATGACCTTTGATCCCTTGTTTGCTGCTGCAGGAATGACTCACACAAAGTTGCCTGGCATTGTGAATGACCTGACCAAGACTATCCGGAAGGTTTTGATTGCGACTAGTCAGATGAAGGAGCACGAGGAGGAGCCAGAGATGCTTCTTCATCTGCAGCACAGTCTAGCAGACTCTTATGCTGGCACTCCTGCTCTGAGGCAGACATGGCTGGAATCGATGGCCAAGAAACACACTGAACAAGCTTATTATTCAGAGGTAAACCACTGGACTTGGTACTCTACTCCATTTTCCTCGTTCATTGTATGTTTTTCAATCAATAAGATTTCCATCTATTATTTCAATATTGTACGAGACTGATTGTACGAGTGTTCGGGTCAATTAAACGTTAATAAGCGAAGTGCATTTTATTGTATTTGAGTCGTGATTTTTTGGGAGGATTTAGTCAACAATTTTTTATCATGGTTGTAGACATTGTCGATTGTCATTTTTTAAACATCCAACTCTGAAACTTGATAATTAATGTGCAGCTTAACTTTTTTTGGAAAACCTCATTGTTTTTATAACTTTTAGATTCGCCAAATTGAAGTTTGAAACCGAACATTAATGCGAGGGTAAAATGTTATAAATTTTGGTTTCCTGAAAAAAGGGCCATGGTTTATTTTGTGCTACTGATTTAGGCAGCAATGTGTTACCTGCACATCGCTGCAATGCATGCCGAGTACCTCAAGGCTAATGGACAGGCAGTGGCAAATCCAATCAGCACCGCAAACATCAAAACCACCACATTCGCCAACAAGAAAATCTCAATCTCGGGCATGCAATCAGCTGCGGCTAACTCCCTCATAACGCAATCACCTGTTATGTCATCTAGTTTGAGTTCAACTAGGAATCAGCCGAATGCGACAGCTGTGAACAACTTCGCCAACACGCTGATTCCAACTGGAAAGTGTTTATTCAGGGAGATCAGTCCGAATATCGAAGAGGATGAAGTGGCAGTTTTAGAGGAGAAGGGGTCACTTCAGGACGACTGTTTCTCACAGGTATGAACAGATCGGTATTCATTCGCTTTGATATTTTCAAAATGAGTTCTAATTAAAAAAAATCAAATCGATTATATTGCTTTGAATTAATTTGAAGATTTTTTTCTAACAAGATTTATAATTTTTAATTTCTTCGATTTTGTTAGAATAATATGATAACAAGGTTTAGACATATGGTTGTGATACATCTGCCGAATATCGTTTATACATCTGCCGAATATAGGTATATTTTTGCTTTATGATTATAAATATGACTGTGTTCAGGTGCGGGGTGAGGCGGCTCGAACTGTATTCCGGGCAACATAGTTTAATACTATTCAAGTCAGTCTGAGTATGGGTATACAGTTTTGGGTTGTTTTGCTTTGCACCTAAAGGACATAGTCATATTTCAAGAAATTTTGAAAAATGGTCAAAAAGAGGGCGTTACTCTGCCCAAATTTCTAGAGAATTTAAGGGCTTTTTTTCGCGAGGTGGATGAGGCGTTAATTAATTTCTAAAAAAACTTATAATTTTTTTCTTTTTGCTATTTGGTTTCATAAATATTATATTTATCACTTATTCATAACTCATTGATGTGCTTTTCTTTTGTGTAATCTGTGGGGTACGCTCCTAGTGGGTTTGAAGAAAACCCTTTGCGTATCCTCACTTAACAATCCTGGGTAAACTGTTGATTCATTTATTATGTGATAAAAAATATTCTTTTTGTTTAATGTAATAGTGTATCTGATTTTGTTAAGTGAAATTAATTCTTCTTCTTCTATACAGATTTATTAAAGTGATCGTTTTGGTCGGCGTGAAAATTGTATATATAATTTTTGTTCGTTATCAGTTGCATGAGTTAGTAATAAATCGTTTTTGACTTGTTTTCAGGAGATTTTCGTGAAGTTACTCGAAACAGCGATTGAAAACTTGTGGCAGTCTCAGAGATTTGAACTGGTGCCCAAAGTGATACAACTGATCCTGCCCTACTATGACAAAACGAGGTCGTATGAGAAGTTGGTGGATCTGCACAACCAGTGCAGCAAGAGCTACGTGAAGATGATGGAAGTGTACAATAGTGGCAGGAGGTTCCTTGCATCCTACTTTCGAATCGCATTCTTTGGGAAAGTTAGTCTGATATCTTGAGCAGTAGCCGTTTTGGCTCTTCGAGAATTCCACGCAATTCGACATTCAAAACTAATCATATGGGAAAATCAATTTGGCTGGTCCAAATAGTTGCAAGGATGTGTTTCAAGCGAAAACCATTAGATACGTTCTTGGACACCGATGCATGAAACTTTGGAAAAACTATCAGTTGTTCATTCATTTCTAATCACATATAATTTTATAAGATTTTTTGCTCATTATGATGTTCAAAACTGTCAAAACAGGTCTTTTCTGTTAAATGGCCCAATATTGTCATGAAAGTTCAAATTATTCTGACAAGGAATTAGTTTCAACCAATCAAATTGAAGCAATAATGCGCGAGGCTCATCATTTTTGTGAGAACTAGCAGCGTGTTTTTTATCTGTAGATTTTTGGGCCGGATGATGGGCAGCAGTATATCTACAAGGAACCCAATGTGACGTCACTGGCAGCTGTGTCTGAGAGACTGAACAAACTATATGGGGACAGACTGGGACAGGAGAACTTCAAACTACTGCATGACTCAGATGTGGTAAGCAAGTTGTTTAGTGTCAATGAACCAGACTAAATTTTTACCAGACTAAATTTGGTGGAACTTTTTAGTATAAATAGAGACATATTTAGCATAAAATTGATTTTCCGATTTGACTTGATTCCTTTTCAAGTTCGTGTTAAATTCATCTGGAAATTACTGAAGCTGATATGGCTCGGAAAAAGCTTGAACGACTTAGAAGTTGGAAATTGGATTCTGTATTTTACGTTTAAGGATGTGTTACTGAGCTTTTTGAGGTTGACGGTTCAAGTTTTTCTTCAATGCGACTTCGCTCGTTTACCATTGCGGTAAGCAAGGGTATTGCAATTGGGTACTATACTTTTTCCCCTAAACAACTTGGTCCACAGGATCTTTAGAGGACCTTTCATCTGACATTTTGCGTAATTTCGAAGGCAAAATATACCTGTTCGGGATTATGTGTTTCAGTTTGGATGGATCGTAAGAACTTTAAAATTTAATGAATTTTTTTAATGACAGTTTTGTTTTCGGCTCAACAGGTTTCGACCCAAAGTTTGTGGCCTTTGTTTCTGCTCGGTAAATGATTTCCATTTTTAAGGGCTGTTTGTGAACTTCATCTGATACAAATATGACAAATATGAAGTAGCTGTAAGTTTCCAACTTTTGTCAAGTTATTTTTTCAAGTAATTTTTTCCAACATCATTTTTCAGAAATTCTTTTTTGGCTTTTGTCTTTTTTTCATTGAATATTTTGTGGCGCAATGTGTTTTTACGTCGCATGTGTTGCGAAGCTCCGTTTCGCCTCTGTGTTAAAAAATGTAATTCGGATTTCACTGTTGCCTTATACTAGACGGTAGATCCAGCAAATTTTTTGTCTATTGATTTCTGGAGTTTATAAAATATATCGCTTTCCGGCGGATAAAAGTTTGATTTTGGATAAGTTTGAAAAAATTGTTTTTTGATTTTGAGTATCGCCAATGGATCTTCAGATTGGTTTTCATGTGTCTCTGAAGTTTAATTTCTTGCAAATTTATCTGTTCTAGGTAGCGAAGAACCTGGATCCCAAAATGGGTTTCCTTCAGATCACCCACGTGGAACCCTACTTCGAAGAGAACGAGAGATCAGACCATAGGGCAATCACAACCACCACCGACTTCGATATGCATAACAATGTGAACAAGTTCGTATTCGAGGCTCCCTTCACCCGACCAGCAGACGGGTCGGCACCGGAACAAGCGAGACACGCGACCCAATTAAATGAACAGTATATCCGAAAGACTATCTTGAGGAGTGAGTAACATTAACGGTCTTAAAGTTTTGTAAACATTTGATAGTAGATTTCGTGATGGTTGAACGCTTCCATTTTCCATAGTCATGTTTCTGAAAGTATTAAAAACAAGATCTTGCTTTAAGCATTGTCTGACAATGCTTATAGTACATAGATTAAAAAATTGGCTCGTTGCGAGCAAGTTTTAAAGCATAAAATTTATAATATACAATACTTTTGGCACTGATATTGGCCTTACATCAGGAGCTGATTTGGGGGGAGGGGGGGGCGCTTCTTTATTATTTTTTAAGAAATCCATTTTTGGCCGACCGACCCTAAAATTTTTTCTTTTTTTGACTTATTTTTTTTTAAATTTGCCTGCGGCGTAGGAAATTTGGTCAAAATGGGGTATTTTTAAAAACTTAATTTGGGCGACCTAAAAAAAGGTGCCGACAAAGTTTTCGAAATTTTTTTTGAAAATCCCCCCTCGAGAAAATCCTAGATCCGCCCCTGCTGAGAATGATCACTTGATACCCTTGGGATCAAAAGGGGTATTGTAATTGGGTAATAGACTTTTCTTTGCTATGGAGTTGCTGCATGTATGCATGCATTTTCTCATTTAGGCTCTGCGGTCTTCCAAGGCGATTTTTTTCTTGCCGAAAATGTTTGGCATAGTTTCGACTTCTTGGTGTTGGCCTAAATTCTATCGGGTCATTAATTTTTATGATTAATAGTAAATGAACTTAGTTCGGATTCTTTTATAGGCCGTGATTGTTTTTTAAAGAGTCGATGTACGTAGTCCAGACTCTTATATAGGTCGCGATGATTTTTTTCTTTCTTTTATTAGGAAAAGTCTTTAAATTTGTTCAGGCTCAAATTTACTTTTTCGCAGTTTGACTTTTGATTTCTTTTTCAGTTCAGTTCTTTTGTTAAAACGACGGCAAACTCCACTATTCAATAGCAAACGTGTAAAAGTTACGACACACGTGATCAACTTCTACTTTGGAAAGTGGTATTAAATTTTCAGTTTTCCCAGTGGATTAAAAACCGTGCCTCTTAAAACAGTTTTCTCAGTTTGGGTTAATTTTATCAAAAAAGTGGAAATTAGTACCTGTTTTTGAAATTCAAAGATCTTGAAGACATTATCTTTTTTAAATGCAAAATTGCCGATTTTTTTCTAAAAACAAGTCAGTATTTTTTTTTCTGTTTTCTTGCGTTCATTGACTCTTTTCAACTGTCTGTTGGCTATGAGTACCTCTTAAAACAGTTTTCTCAGTTTGGGTTAATTTTATCAAAAAAGGGCAATTAGTACTTTCTCTTGAAATTAAAAGATCTTGAAAGCCATCTATTATCTTTTTTTAAATGCAAAACTGCCGATTTTTTTTATGAAAACAATTCAGTGTTTTTTTTCTGTTTTCTTGCGTTCACTGACTCTGATACCTATTCTATTAGGAGTCTGTCTGTTGCCTGTTCTGTTAAGAGCAATGAACGTAGTGAAGACTCTTATATAGGTCTTGCTGTTTTTTTTTCAGGAAAAAGTCTTGAAATTTGTTCACGCTCAATTTGGATTTTTCGCGGTTTGCCTTGTGATTTCTTTTTAAGTTCAGTGCATTTCTGTTAATAGAAGGAAGGCCGCAAACTCCACTACCGAACAGCAAAATTGTAACAGTCAAGAAAATGTGATCGACTGCAAATTTTGAATAGGGAAATAAATTATCAGTTTTCCCAGCGAAATGAAAGTTTTACATATTGATCCAGTTTTCTCAAATCTGGTAAATTTAACAAAAAAGTGTCCATCATAAATTGTTGTACAAATTCAAAGAGTATTAAGGCCATCTAGTTTTTGTTCGAAATTTAAAAGTTGAAGAAGTCGATTTTTTTTTCAATTTCTTTGCGTTCATTAATCTTTTGCAACTGTCAGTTGGCTATGCTTAATTTCATTCACTTAATTTTAAATAAATTATACATAAGATACTGCAGGTTAAGTGCAGGTTTATCAAAAAAAAGAGTCAGTCATAGAGGATTCTTGAAATTCATTTAGCATTAAACTTTTTTTAAGGGTCGATGAATATTGTTCAGCCTCATTTACAGGTCGTCATGATTTATTTTTTTGAATGATTTGTTTTCGTAGGTCGGAAAAGTCTCAAAATTTATTCAGGCCCAAATTTATTTTTTCGCAAGTTAGAGTTTGAATTTCTTTTCAATTTCAGTTCAATTCCTTTCTTAAAAGGTAGGCAAATTCCACTATCGAACAGGGAAAGTGTAAAGGTGTTGATTGAAATATAAGTTCATAAGTGCAATTATCAATTTTCTGAGCAAGATTTAAGTTATGTCCAACGATGCAGTGTTTTCAAACTGAACTAATTTTATCAAAAAAATCATAAATTGTTCTAGAAGTTCAAAGAGCCTTAAGGCTATATTTTTTTGTCGAATTTCGAAATGTTTTTTTTTTTTTAAAGTAAGGCAGTGTTTTTTTCTCTTTTCTTGCGTTCAGTGACTTTTTTCCAACTTTTTTGGCTTGGTTTTTTTTGTTTGCTGTTTCTAGGTTCCGACTCTCCAAAAATTAACTATTGATCATTAGTTGTTCAAAATGGTGCACACATGTCTTTTGTTTTTTATTTTGCTGAATTTTGTCAGCTTCTTTGATTTAGTTCATTTGCAGGCATTTCATTCAGGCTATTTATTTTAATGCGTATTAAAATAAACTGTGTAAATTATGAGTCTCTGGACACCAATAAGTTTTTTGTAAGTTTTGAATTTTGTCTTTCTGCATTTACAAAATGAATTTTTTCAGATGTTCAGTTCCCAAGATGTTTATGCATAACATAGCATATAGCATAACCTTGCAACATAGCATTAGCATAAGCAGTTGGGATTACTTTCGGGTCCTTTTTTGTGGTTCTTTATAGTTTGCTTCCAATGCTGTAATCACATTCTTTGCGAAGCAATGTTTTGGAGGAGGTGAAATATCTAAGGTTTTGGGCTAGTTGCCACAAGCCAAATAAAGTTGCCAAAAACCTTTATTTTTGCGACGTTTTTCCAAATTTCGTCAATAATACTTAAGTGTTTTTGATTGAAACATTTTCAGCAGTTAATTTTTGGAGTGTTTTAAATATATTTTTCTAATAAAACTAATAAAAACTGCGATTTGAGGCGTATTTAAAAGTCATTTAAGCAGCTGTTTTCATTCAGCATGTCTAGACTTATGTCCCTAATATAGGCCTGCAGTTCGATTTCTTTTGGATTTTCGGCAAACCAATCAATAGTTTTGTCTTCATGGTTTTAGCATCCGTTTTTCTTTTGGTGCCTTGCTGTCTCTTTGTTTATCTTTTTCAATGATTGATTTTCGGCTGTGATAATTTTGCTAACACTTCACTTATTGCATCTGAATTGACGAGGTTCAATTTTGTTTTTAATATGTTTATCGTTATTTTTGACTATTGCTGAATTTTTTTGGACCTATAGCCGATGTTTAAAAAATAGGTTTTCGAAACTTTTTAATTTTGTAAGTTCTTGGTTTCAAAGCTCTCGCTAAATATGTTATTTTAGTTTCTGAAGCGTTTCTAACTATTCATTGTTTTTTTATTAACATCCCAAAGGGTTCTCTGTAGTTTCTCTTTTTATTTCAAATCAGAAATTCACATAAGTAGAGCGTAATGTTATAATACGAAGTCTACTTTGTTTCCAAACCAAGTCTCAATCAAAATTGCTCATTTGTGGCAATAGCATTATATCTGGTATAATTTTGCTGCACTAGCGTTATATCTGGTTCACTATTGCTGCATTAGCGTTTTATCTTTGACGAATACAGTGCTGATTTAAATTAACCGGACAAAACGAATCAATTTTGAAATTTCCAACGAGTTTTTCTCGTTTGAAACATTAGACTAAAATGAAAGGAACAAAAGTTGCTTACAGTTTCACCAAAAATTCTCAACCGAAATTCTCAACCAAAGTTTAACCTTAAAAAGGGGTTATTTTGGCGTTTTCAATTAATCAAAAATTACGCTGAAAATTTTTTGTTAATTGATGGGAAATATATATTACAAGAAGCCTCTTACACAGCGCAACAAAGTTCTAGAAGAGTTTAATCTCCAAAAACTTGCTTAAGAGAAAAAAATTTTGCGTGATTGTCAAGAAACGTGATTTTTACGATATAAAACCCAAAATCTTTGTTTAAAAACAAATATAAAACAATTTACTCAATTTTTTGGAGGTTCAATTTTTCTGGAACTTTGTTGGGCTGTGTAAGAGGCTTCTTGTGATATATATTTCCCATCAATTAACAAAATGTTTTCAGCGTAATTTTTGATTAACTGAAAAAAGCCAAAATGACCCATTTTTGGGGCAAAATTTTGGTTGAGAAATTTGGAGAAAAAACTGCACCTCTATAATTCTGGTGAAATTCTTAGCAACTGTTGTTCTCTTCATTTTTTGTCTAACCTTAACCCAATTTGAGAAAAATGCGTTTGAAAATTCGAGTTTTGTTCATTTCGTCAGGTTAATTCAAATCAGCACTGTATTAGTGACTTGTGTTTGAGGATGGTCAAGAGAACGTTGCGCCGATGCTAGGACAAGTGACTCTTCATCTGTAATTTAGAAGTTTGATTCGGACAGATAGCAGAGTTTTTATTAGTTTTCTCTTTTTTCAATTCTTGACCTTAAGGCTACTTCTCCACGTTAAGGCTACTTTACTGTCCTATTTCCAAGTAAGTTAAAGTGATATGATTTTTGTTTTTCTAGCTAAGCACTGTTTTCCATACGTGGAGAAGCGAATAGTAGTTGACATGGTGCAAAGTTTCGAACTGTCTCCGATCGAGGTGGCGTGTGAGAGTATGAAGAGGAGCATCAAGGACCTCAAGGCAGTCACTGTGTCCAAACAGCCAGACATGAAGAGACTGCAACTCAAACTGCAAGGATGTGTCGGCACACAAGTAAATGCAACTTTTTTGGCTTCTATAAACAATAAAATGGTGAAAAATTCATCCAAGCTAAAAATGTTTATGATTGATTCATGAAACGTAATTTTATGAAACATTTCTTTTTGATTAAATTTAAAATGCGTCTAATTTCCAGCTTACCTAAAGAACGCTGTCAAAAAAAGAAAACCAGAACCGGCTCGCTTTTACTTTCAAAAGCAGATTTAATTTTCAGAATTTCTTGTTGAATGGGAAAATTATTTAATTCGATTCTTCTAACTGGGTTGAAGCAAGAAAAAGTCACACATACGATTTTTTTGAAATAAGTAAAGAGATAAGATCATGATATTTTCTTCGAAACTCACAAGATAAAAAAAATAATTGCTTTCTCAGGTTCTCGTTTTCCGTCTATTGGATATGATCGAATAGCTTTAGAATTATACATTTAAATTAATAAATGTATGCTTGCAAGAACAATCAAACGTTTGCAAGAGCTATTTTTTTCGAAGGCCTTTGAAATTCAAATGTAAAGTATCCCACAGATTGCTGGTGTTTATTTTATATTAATACTTAGTTTTGTCTCGACATTTATGTCATACATGCATACATGTATTCTACAGTCATACATGCTGTAGAATAAGTAATAGAAATTTACTAAAAGTAGAAGGAACCTTGAGGTATGACTTTATTTTTATACAGGTTAATGCGGGACCTATGGCATACGCAAGAGCCTTCCTTGAGGATGAAAAGCAGTATGGCTTCCCTGCAAACAAAGTCAAGGAGTTGAAGCGCATCTACATGTAAGACCTCACTCATAATTCATCGTTTATCCATCTATACGTATCATAAATCTTTCGTTTGTAGGAGTAAATTGCTTGTTACCCAAATCCTACTCGTAGTTCAAGACTGAATCAAAAGGATTGATTGCAAAGTTCTGCTGAATAATCTGCTCTTAAGGTTTTGATTTCAAAATGGTTTTAAATTTTTTATCTGCGCTAGCTGAGATTTAATTACACAGTTGCGGTTTTAGAGAGGGAGGGGGGGGGGTGGGTAATATTTTATGACATCCATTTTTCGGCGCAATAAAAATACTAATTATAAAGGGGAGCGCGCATAAAATAAGGGATTTTGTATGGCCATTTTTTTTCTTCAAAAATTGCCCCAAAAACGGTATCCTGTTTCGACAAAAACTCGCCTGCGACAATTTTTTTTTCAAAATAGGGTCTTAGTAATGATCTGGGAGCGGTCGGAAAATCAGAATGGTTAACCCAAACAAAAGGTCGACGAAATTTTTGAAATTTTATTGAAAATCCCCCTCGAGAAAATCCTAGAGCCGACGCGGAATATACATGTTTTGTATTCTTCAGTGACTTCGTTGCCACATGTGCAGATGCACTGGAACTAAATGGCCGACTGATCAAATCGGACCAGTTTGAGTTCCACGAAAACCTCAAACTCAGTTTCAAACTGTTAGTTGAAAAACTGGCGGCCATTTTGAAGATGAACATTACTGACAAAGGCACAATCGAATGGGCCAACAATCCTGTTCCGACGATAATAAGTGCAACTGATTCGCCCGCGATGCGCCGCGGAAACATGATGCCGTCGATTGGAAGCTCGGTGTCGACAACACAGTCGTACAGCGGCGAGAACAGACGAAATTCGACAAAGATTCTATCGGAAATCAGCAAAACTTCAAACTCGGATAAGTTTGGATGATTTGGATCAAACTCGATGAATTGTTAAAAAGCTTAAGCGAAATGCTGCATTGCATGTAAAATTTAAATGTTGAAAAAAGATCCGAGAATTCTTTTTTCGGAATGAAATTATGTACTTTCCAAATTTTAATGGGTAAAAATATTTTCCTAGTTCGATTAGTTGCTATGACTGCTTGCTTTGTTTTAAGTTGAAAAGTTTTGCTTTCAAGGTGCGTAATTGTAAAATTTGTATTCTCAGAAATATCAATGAACCCTTTTTATAATTGACTAATTTATTTCAGCTGGTCGTTCCTCCCAGATCTTTGAGCCCAAGGATCAGAAGTAATCGCAAACAAAAACTTAAGTGAGATAAACATTAATTAGCCTAATCAATTTAGCAAGATTTTTGTGCCGGCCATTGAAAATGGTGAGGAAATTGTCTTTGGGTATGTTCATGTTTTTTCGTTTTCTAAAAAATAAGTCATTTAACCTAGTGAAGACACTTAAATAAGTATTGGTAAAACAGATTGAAAGCCAGCAAAGAGTCGTGTGAGGTTACATTGTTTTTAAATCAGTAAACGCGAAAACTGAAACAGATTTGGGACAAACATGTCTGTAACGATAGTTACATGTATATGAGTTTTTTAAACTCGTGGTTAAAATTATATGACTATCTTGTGGAAAAAAGACCTTGTGGTAAATACAATTGAACAGGAGGTAACAGATACTATTAACACATACATTACAAGGAAAAAGTTTTTGCAGCCGAAATAAGCTTGCTTATTGAGCTAAACAAACTAAAGTAGGGTTCGTATTTTATATAATATGTTTTTACACTTGAAAAAAAATGATATTTTTTTGAAGCGTTAACAAAAACAAATGATTATTTGGGCTAGTTTTTTCATAAAAAACTATATTTCTGACTAAGACATTTTTAAAAGTATTTTATGACATGTTTTCATCATTTTGTTACATGTTTTTTGTTCATTTGATTTTGATAGCTAAAATTACCTAATAAATACATTTTGCGTTGGCTCTTAAGTTCTTTATTTTTGACTGAGGTAATTTTGCGTCCTTTATTTTATACTGCCTAAACGATCTATAAAAGTTGGCAAATTATTTTTAGTCGATGAGACGCAAGCCGACAGGCTGATGCTTTTTTGATATTCTCCCAAGACTAATTAAATTAAAAACGTGTAGTTTCATAGAATATATGCTTGTAAGTTTCGGCTAGAAAAAATATCATTTTTAATTTGACTTTTTGGTTAGTTTTTTTTCAGGAAAAATTCTAAAAATTGTTCACGCTCAAGTTAAGTTTTTTGCAATTTATCTTTCAAGTTTTTTAGGTTCCGTTTATTTCTCTTAATAAAAGGAAAGAAACCCCGTTTTTGAACAGCGAAGCAAAAAAAATCTGAAAAACTTGATCGACTTATTCAAAAATGGATTATAATTGTTACGTTTCCCACCGAATTAAATATTTTACTTTTTGCGCCAGTTTTTTCAACTTGAACTTATTTTATCGAAAAACTCTCTATGAATTGTATTTGAAATTCAAAGATCTTCGAGGGCATTTATTTTTTTTTTGCTGAAGTTTGAATTGTGAAGTTTTTTATTGATGTTTAATATAAAGTCAGGTATTTTTTGTTTCCTTGTATTTCATGGCTCCTGTGTCGGTTAGGCTCCTAATTTTGGCAAAAAATTTGTGCGGAGAAAAACCGGTTTAAAGTCGACCGGTTTGAAGTTTGGCTTATTTCGATCGAGAAATTATGCTACACTTGTAATAAGTTTGTAACAGTGTTCTTGAAATTAAGTTAAGTCTTGAAGTTTTATTTCTTAGCCTGTTATCCTGTAAAAGTAGCCTTTGAATTTTCAACCGCTTTTTTGGAACAAGTTTTCAAAAATCCAAAAAAGAAAAAACGGTCAATTTTTTTTGATAAATATTTTATAATAAAATTTGTTGTCAAGCTACCTAGTTTACTATTATTATCCGTTTGTATCCTTTTTTTGAAACAAGATTACGACACGTCCTGAATAAGTGGTTTTCTATTTTTTTTTCATTATGGTCGGGGCAACTTTCTGAGCAACTTGCATAGCCACCGGTTATCTTTGCTCGTTTTTGGAAATCAGTAAAGGGTGTTTCCAACTTTAAATTGTTAAAATTGCGACAAAGTCTTCAGAATTTTTACGTTTAACAGTCATGAACATAGTAGATACCCTTATTTAGGCCTTAGTGACTTTTGTTCAATCTTAGAATTTTAGTCTTAGTTTTTGATTTTTCTTCTTCAAATTCTGTTCGACCCTTTGTTGAAAAGAAAGCAAATTCAGCTATCAAACAGCAAAATTGCAAAGGTGACAAAAAACGAGGTCGACTTCTAATTTTCAGCGGGTTCAGACTCATTTTCAGCCAAATCTTGATTAAAGTTTCTTCTTTCTAAGCTTGATATTTGGCAATTAAACTTTTATTACTTTTCAATGAACGCAGTTTAGACATTTTTTGATGTATCCTGACGTTTGTCTAAATGGACTTTTCGCGGTTTGGTTTGGAATTATATTCCATTCAAGTGCACTTGATTAAAGATAGGCGGCATGCTAGGCTCTCGTTCAAAGAAACAAAGTTGATGCAAAAAACGCGTATGATTTTTAGTTTCGAAGTTGGACTTTACTTTTTTTTGGTAGTTTTGAGCTTTCATTGACAGTTTTTCGACGCAATTTTCGGCTATGAATCAATTTTACTACACAAGAAACTATTCATTGTTTACACAAAACTATCAACAGTTTTCAAAAAAATTTCAAAATAATAATCCAATTTAGAAAAACTCAACAAGAATTGCTGATTAAACTAGCTCAAATTGAACAAAATAAAGCTGCGAAACTAAATGAAATTTGTTTAAGCGTTTAATTTAAGCAACCGAGCTCATAGCATAGTCAACTAAAGTTATCTATGTCATGCAAAAAATGATCATAACAACAAAGAGGAAAAAGTTATGACGTTCAGTGTTCTAGCGATGACGTCAATAGTCATTTCCCTCTTCCAGCCGAGAGATGAAGCACAGCTATTGATTCCACAATCTGGCAAAAATGTATAAAAATGCTATCGTTTACTCCAATTTCACCCCTAAAAAAATTATCTAAAAAATTATCTTTCAATTCAAAACAATTCATCCTTTCAATTCATTGAACTTTGTTGTTAGTTTGTTTAAAACATGCTGCCGTGGAAAAAAGTTCGGCTAAAATGTTCATTTTCTTCGATAAGGACAGTGAGTCACATGGAAGAAGCTTCAGCAAAAATTGTCACTTAAAGTTGTTTAAAATGTCATTTTTCTTCAGTAAGGATCGGCAGTTTCTGATAGTTTGATTGTTGCCATAATTAATTTCTGTCGGAATTTGCAGTTTTGCTTGTTACACTTGAGAAAACAATTGTATTGTAATCGGGAATAAGACTTTTGTTTTCTGTGAACAACTTTTCTTACATTTGTAAGAAACGGATGTTGCTTTATTATCGAACCTTGTCAACTTCCAGGCCCCTTCCCAATTAGTCTTGGGGTAATGCAATTGTCTTTGCGCACTTTGGTTTGGGATTCAAGACCCGGTCGGACCTTGTTTTATTTTCAGCGCATGAAATAGAAGTTTTTCCGGGAAAAATTGAAAAGGCCGACTAATTTTTGTCGACTGAATGATTTTGCGGCACAGATTTTTTTAGTGGGTCAAGCATTTTTTATTTCAATTTCAAGTGTCGTTGACTATTATTGTGTAGTTTCTAATTTTGCTACTCCGGACTGGTTTAAGTTTCGTTTTTGTAGACGCTTAGAAATTTTATTCGTCATAAAACATTTCGGTTTATATTTTATTGGTTTAGTGAAATTATTTGGCATCTGCATAACGGCAAAAAAATGATTATTTATAGCTTAGGTCTAAATTATAGTTTGGAACTAATTAGGTCAGTTGAAATATAAAAGTTGAAAATATAAACAATTTTTATTGACAATTTATTTTCGAAATCTTTTATGACCCAATTTTCCGGTTGTCTGCTCAAGTTTTGACAGCATAGCTGTTACATCACAAACTTTGCTTGCGTGTAAGCAACTTTCATTGTTGAATTGTTGTTCAGTGAAGTTTCAGGGGGACTTAAAAAGTTTCAGGGGGACAGGAAGAGAGATTGTTGGCTTATTTGTTTTATTACGGATTTGTCTTATCAGTTTTTTCCGTCTCACTTGTGACTGCTCAAAGATTGTCGGCTTTTTCTTTTTTTTTTGCCAATTCACTATTCAAATATCTGACATCTTTGCCTAAAACTAACTTCTACCGTGAATTACGAAAATTTAAAATTTGTTAGACCTAGTTTTTTCAACTTTTTTGTCGACTGAACTTTTTTTTAATGTTTGTTGTATCGCAAGTGATACGAAGCTCCTCTTATCCGTTCAGTTTTTTGTTTCGCTATTCTACAAGCTTCATCTAAAGTTTCCAAAAAACCCCAAATACGCTCTCTACCAGTCTTTTTTGCCTTTAAGGTATTTATTCTTTCAAATTTTGTCGTGGAAAGTTTCGTTAAGGTTGTGTCCAGCATTACGAATTTTCTTTGAAGCTGACCCAAGCAGATAGATCTTTCTGTTTGCCGAGCGTATATGTTGGTCTTCTTGTAACTTACGCAGTTCATTGAATTACATCTTTTCAACTAATATTACCCTCTGTGCTTGGACCCGCTTGTCTGCTTTATTTATTATTTATTTTGCCTTAGTTTCCTTTTTTTCCCAGTTGTTTCAATCTGTTCTCCTGGTCCTTGTTCGACATAGGGTTCTGGGTCTCTAATACCTCTGAAGTCTTTAGTTTATAGCTATTAACTTATTCTTTTTCATTTATGCCTGCGTGAAATTGTTCAATCGAAAGAACTTAGGTTGCAAAAGGTTTTGTTATTGGGCCATAACGGAAAATTTTCGAATCCTTATTTGAGTGTGCCAATGAGTAGATTATAGGAACTGAGCTCAAACTCTAATCGATTTTGATCTAGCATTTGCAAGGTGGACTAGAAGTATCTCTTCACTGTCAAATCAATTTTTGTACAGATAATACACTATAAATGTCGATTTACAGTAGCCCTTTTAGATACTCAAATCGATTTAAAATAGGTTTAAGCGGACTTCTACGGTTGCAGAAAAAATTGCCTAAAATCTGATTTAAATTGGATCGAATAAGTCTTAATAAAGAACTAAAACCTATCGAAACAATTGAGTTTAGGGTAAACCCCTTTATCTTCTCTGATTTTCCAAACTTTTGAGTTTGGGTGAATCCCTTTATCCCTTTTGTAATTAGCAGCAAATCTGAGTTTTACCGCGTTTATGAAAATTAATTCTCTGGAAAATACCCTAAATTGACTTTTCCTTTATCAACGCTATAGATGCATTTTTTTTGGGTTTATTTTAGTGTTTTTAGAGTTTCTTTTTGAACCAAACATCAACAAGAAAAGTTACTTGAAAAGCTTACGTCATTTTTATATTTCCAGTTTCTTCTATTGTTTGACTGTTGATAAGTTTGAACATAAGTTGTATATAATTTGTATAAAATGAATGAACAAAAAATTACGAAAAATCAATTTAAATAAGTTTTTTTCAGAAAAAAATCCGTATAAAACTGAAATCAAAAACTGGCAAGAACAGTTTTAAGATGAGTTGCAATCAAATAAAAATGATTTTTTTTCAAGTTTTTTTTATTAGCCTTGCAATTCTGACATACTTTAAATTTCAATCAAATGAAATCAAATCGCTTAGATAGTAATTAGTTAAAGCCCGTTTCAGGTGATAAACATCTTTTCAAAAAAAATTCTCCATTTTTTTTAGGATTCGTTGTTTTCGTCCTAGTTTTGTTGTTTTATTTTCGTGTTTCTTAACGCCACACTTTTTTGTAGGATTTTTAACCTAACTTTTAAAGCACGGGTTTTTTTCCATTTTAAACAGTCGTTTTCTACAACTGAAATTTCACAAAATTGTAATTAACCACGTCTGATGTTTTTTTTTTTTCGTTTTTCTAAGTTTTTAAATAGTTCAAGTTTATGTTGTATCGACATAGTTATTTTGAGGGCAAAGTATCCCTTCCCTTATCACAGCGATTATGTGGTACAATTTGGATGGATCTAAAAGTTTTTGAAATTTATGAAATTTGTTTTTGACAGCAATTTTGTTTTCGGCTCAACAGATTTCGACCCGAATTTTGTCGCCTTGGTTGCCGCCCGCCAAATTTTTTTCCAATTTTTTTAAAATCTGTTTGTGAATTTATTCCGATAGCAACATAGTTTTTGTAGCTGTAATTTTTCAACTTTTTCCATTTATCTTTTCAAGTAATTATTTTAAATTTAATTTCTGTTTTTTTTTTCATTTGCTATTCTGTAGCGCCCTGTTTTTTTTGCATTGCATGTGTTGCAAAGCTCTGGTTGGTCTCTGTGTTGTATTTTTGTTGCGTTGTCTGTCTAAAATTGATTGTAATCTAAATCTTGTCAGTACGGCCACTACTTAATACAGGAAAAGCGAAACAATAAAAAAGATAACATTAGGTAGAATTTAAAGTTTTATGTCACTAAATGTCCTCGAACTATATTTTTTTAGTACCTCACAAAGTAAAAAAAAATGCTGTTCGGACAAAATATTCCTTCTCATTCCATGAGCGGTTGAGAGCAGTTCTGTTATTGCCGGCTATTGAACTATTGAATTTCAAAAACAATAAGACTCCTAGTTACCATGCTAAACCGCGGAATTTTGCGATTGCACTTTTATGAGTCTCCAGTAAATTTGGGCAAAAATTATGAATAAATTTTTAGAAAAAAATGCAGTTTGAAGTACAAAAGTAATCATTGGCATTCTTCTTCGACAAAACTAAGATTGCAATCGATTATAATCAGTTTTTTACCCGTAAAAAGTTATTTAGCGTAACCCAATTAGATAATAAAACTAATAATATGAAAACATAGGGATTTTATACATCAGAAAAACAGAATCTATTGTCTAATAATTGGATTACAAGGATCAGGGGCGGATTTAGGGGAGGAAGCGGGGGGCGTACGCTTCCCCCCCCCCCCCCCCCTCCTCAGGGATTCGACCCCCTGCCGACCCAAAGGGTCCCCCCTTTGCTACTTTTCAGAAATCCATTTTTGGCCGACCCACCCTAAATTTTTTCTAAAGGCACCTTCGGCGCCAATATATACTAACTTTGAGGGGGATCGCGCGCCAAAAAAAACGCGATTTTTTTGTCAAAATTTTTCAAAAAGTGCCCAAAAACGGCTTTTTTGACTGTTTTTTCAAAAATTTGCCTGCGGCGCACAAAATTTTGCCAAAATAGGGGCAAAACAGTGCCTAAGGAGAGCTCAAAAAATCAATTTGGTCGACCAAAAAAAAGGTCGTAAGAGAAAATCCTAGATCCGCCCCTGACAAGGATTAAAAATTTGATTACTTTCAATTTAAAACCTGTGTGTTATCTATCAGCATTAAACCCCCTAAAATGAGTATGAATCACTCACAAAGAAGTTATTTACTTCACAACTGTATATTTTAATGGCGATAATTGTTTGCAAACTGTGATTTGCAATGTGGAATGGTCTTTTAAATTGTTATTTGAATAATTCAGTTCTACTCGAGGCTGTTCCAAAAAAAATGCCTCAACTCAATATGAACTGATTTGTCAGTTTGGCAAATGTTATAATACCAAAAAATAGAGCGAATTCAGTTTTCTAAAGCAACCAAATTGCCATTGTTGGCAGGTTGTCAGCTAAAAGAATTTACAATGACAAAAAAAGTCGCAGGTGAAATGCTCATTTTTATGCTTCGTGCATCATTATTTGTCAGACTGTATTAGGAGACATGTACAAAACTGTATGTTCAAAAGTCAAAACTTTTCAGTAGAAACACTCACCTATCACAAGTATTCCATCCGTTTGTCGAAAGGTTTAGAGCATTAAATGAAAGTGAGTCAGCAAAATTGCTAATGTTTTAATTAAAAAAATACGTGTGAGTCCACATCAAAGGTTTTTGGATAAAAATAAATTATATGGGAAAAAAATCTTGCTGAAATTATCGCCATTTTTTTGATAATGTTTAATCGATAGTTTTTTCTAGTTTGAATGCGGGCAAAAGAAAGATTTTTACAAAAATTAAATCATTTTTTTGCGAGAAAATTTTATTTTTGCTTAAAATTTTTTTTTGCCATATAATCCCATAAAATCTTGAAAACGGTTTCTCTTAGGACTTGGAGAATTTTTTTTTAACAATCCCAACGATATAATAAAGCATTGCCACCCACGCAGGTACCTAACTCCAAAGAGTTGGTAGAAGTCGAAATAATAGGATGGTAAATTAAAATCAGCAAAAATTGAGAAAACTAGAGGTTTTTAATTTAAAAAATGTGAACAGAAAAACTTGAAACAAAATGAAAATTTCTGAGCAACATGTATAAAAAAACTAATTATCAAGTTTGAATATACTGCACTTGTGTTTGAAAATTTCAAACAAATTTCGGAAACACTATTATAATGGATTTCATTGTTCAAAACTAGAAACATTATTATTGGTTTTTAGTTGATTAGAATTGATTGTTTTTGAATTACAAGAAAACAGACGAAAAAAATTCAATACAATCGTTTATTATAACGCCATGACATTGTAATTGCCAGATAATAGAAAATAATCGAAGAAGTTTCGGTCCAACTTTTTTAAACAAAGTTACGGTTAAGTCTGCAAAAATAGATGCTGAGAATAGTCCAATACTCTTTCTTAATAAAGTCTCTGCCACATTTATTTTTATACCGCAGGAACTTTTTCTAATCAAGTAAAACAGTCTTTTTGCAATGGATAACCTTGAAAAGCGCGATCTTTCATTTACTATTAAAAATTGATTATTGTTGAGCCCAAACGTTTTTTTCCTGTCGTAACATTTTGTCTAACCAGTTATTCAGCTATTTGTTTTTTTTTTTTACAATTTACGGATACTTTAAGTTTAACGTCCGTGCTTTTCAGCTTGAGGCCAGAGTCGGTCTCTGTTGACAAAACACCACACTTAAGCAAATACTTTCTCTCTGATAAATTAGAGTTTGAATGATGATTGAATTGAATTGAAAATTGTTATTTAATAATTGAACAAGTTTTATTTAGTTTAGAGTTCATTTCATAGTCTAAGGTGTGAACTCATTGATGAGTCCCCACTGCATTTGACATCCCCCCTCCCTCGAGTCAGTTGAATCCAGGTACCACGGGGTCCACTCGCCCACCCTAGCACACAGCAGTCTCTTTGTGTCTCTTTCCCCACATTGGTCTTCATCTCCGTCCCCGTAGAACTGCATGCAGATTTTAGAGTTCATCAGCCATTCTGGAATTTCAAGGTCAGAATCCTGAAGTGATTGCCGTGATCAAAAGTAGCATAAGGTATCAAAATTTTTATAAGCCTGCTTAAATCTTTAATTTCTGATTTTAAAAAAAATGAAATGACTGATTGTTTATAACTTTTTTGCACTATTAATGTCCTGTAGCAATAAGTTATATTTTCGAAAACAACATTTTTTGCCGTCAAAAACTTTTTTGTCGCATCATTGCGAGCAGCAAATGCTAACTTTGACCAACTATTGTCCCCAATTTTTTGCGCTTAAATTAATCAGTTGTCACAAACGTCCTTGCTTAGCATATTTTTTATTGTCATTTGATCACGGGGCCTTCAGTGCCAAGCTCCATGACATCGAGCAAGTGTAGTGATGGTTCGAGAATTTCTTGGTATAGTCGCTGTAGTAATCCGTCCATTCATTCAGCCCCACACACAGCTCATCTGATTTGGGCTTATCTTCCCCGACGTAACATTGCCTGTAACCTCCTAAAAATTGAAAATTGAAAGATTTCAGCACGAATTGATTGAAACGAAGATTTCAGCTAATTGAAACAACATTTACTATGCGATTAAAAATAATATATTAATTAACTTTCGGAAAATTAAAGTTTGTTTTTGAGAAAAATTTGCATGTAGCTCTTGACCTGCGGCACAACTCTGGTTCTCTGCAAAATTTTGAATAGTGCATATATTTGGCCTTTTTTAGGGGGTGACGCGGGGGGGGGGGGGGGGAGCGGACGCCTTTTTCCCTCAGGGATTCGGCCCCTGCCGACCCAAAGGGTCACCCCTTTGATACTTTTTAAGAAATCCATTTTTGGCCGACCGACCCTAAAGTTTTTCTAAAGGCGCCTTCGGCGCCAATATATGCTAACTTTGAGGGGGAGTGCGCGCCAAAAAAACGCGATTTTTTTGTCAACTTTTTTCAAAAAGTGCCCAAAAACGGCTTTTTTTTACTGTTTATTCAAAGTTTTGACTGCGGCGCTGAAAATTAAGCCCAAAGTAGGGGAAAAACAGTGCTTTGGGAGAGCTCAAAAAATCAATTTGGTCGACCAAAAAAAAGGTCGTCAGAGTTTTCGAAAATTTTTTGGAAATCCGCCCCGCCCCCCTCGAGAAAATCCTAGATCCGCCCCTGCTTTTTCACATGAAGAATGTAAAACACCGCCATAAAAAAAATAGCTAAACGGCTAAAATCGGACTGAAATGGAACTAAAAAATGGGACTCATACATAAAAGGAAAAACTATTCGTTCAATTTAGAGCTTAGACCCGGGATCGATTCCCCGTTTGAACCAATTTAGTATCAAATTAAATTAGGGTACTCTGCTAGTGATTAAAGGGCGCCGTATTAGTACATAAACTTTTGAATGCCAGAATACAAATAGAAAATTAGCCACAGCTTTACCTAAATGATGGTTGTTCCATTTGAAGCACAGGTTGACCTTTTCCAGTGCAGAGTCGATGGAAGCATCTCCCGAGAACAAACCCCAGCTCATCTTGCAGCCCCCTCTTCTGTGTTTTTTCTTGCCTGCAATTAACGGAATTTGGAAAAAGCAGCTCCAAGTTACAGCATTGCCCAAGAATTTAAAACATGAAATGTTAAAGTTTTTCAAGCTAAGCTGTATTTGTATCTATTGTGTAAAAAAAACTGGCTTGAAAATACTCGTTCAATGTTTTATGTCATTTTTACGACTTGTAAGGTCATGAGTTGGCGACCCCAAAGCAGAGTTTGATGTCAAATATAAAGACAAGAAATGAAATGACATTTTTAACTTAAAATATACTAAGTTCCATCTAACCTGAGTTGTCTCTGTAAAAGTCCGTGTACTTATTAACAGGCGCACACAGCAGGTTATCAACCCCCTCTCCCCCACATAGAACACGTGATCCGTCGGCATACCATCGAAAACAAAGCTCAGTTTTGTCCCACCACCCAGGAACCCCCCAATGGAACGAAATCTTCCTTTTCAAATGCTCCGCAGTTTTGGGATCGATTTGATTTTCATCTGATAAAATCTCATTCACTTCGCTCAAAAGTTGTCCAGTTTGAGCCAACTTAGCGTCTACACTGTTATACACATAGCCGTAAAATTGAGACTGAATGTCTTCAAAATAAGCTCGATTCACGTGCGACTCAACAGCTAATTTCATCGACTCTTTCTTTTCAGCGTCTTTTATCAGTTCATAAATGGCAAACAGCTTTCCTTTAAACAGCCAAGGGTTTTCGGGAACAGTGTGAGCCCAATTTTTCACGCTTTCGTCGTCCAGAACGTTCAAACTTCCGCCATAGAACAAAAGTTTGTCGACTGTATTTGAATCGAAATTTTTGTCAACCTCATTATTTGTGTTGTTAAAAGCAGCATGCGAGTTAATTTTTCTAAAAAACGAAGCCGATGCTTGAGCTTGAACGTCTTTTTCATCGTGGCTCGAATAGTAATCGCTGGAAATTTCGAAGTAATGTCTGATGTAACCACCTAAGTTTCCTCCAGCAAAAAAGTGCGTTCCAAAAATATCGATAAACTCTCGGTACGGTTTCGGGTATTCGACAAACTTACTCGGCAACGCCGTGATCAGATCTTCGGCATACTGAGTTAGCCGCAGTTTGTCGAACGACTCGAGTTGAACTTGTAGGCTTGAGACGAAAGTCGTAACTTCCGAAATGCGAACAGAGCTGTTTGATAAAGCATCCCGCATTGACTTGTAACTAACACTTGACGAAAACTGGCCTCCACTTTCACCCATGTTCAAACCTGCGTTTGAAGACATCATTTTTTTGACATCTGAGCTACTTTTGTAAATCTGGGCCATAGAGTTCATCCAGCCGCCTGGAATCGTTTCCAGGGTTGCTATCTGATCCGGAACAGAGTAATCTTTCCCATTGAAGTTGCTTTCCCATTTGCGGTCTGAACGGTGAAATGTGTTCCTCCCCAATTAGCCAGTTTATTTAAGGAATTTTTTTATGCGTTTTTCATAAAAAAAAGGGTTTTGGTAATGTAATTTGAGTTACCGGGATTAGAATTTACAAAAGTTCCCCAGTGTTAATTCAGTGCTAGTTTAATTAATCTGTCAAAAAAACGAAAAAGTCTGGAGTTTTAAACTGGTGCTTCTCTAATGGGGTTTTTTGTCACAAAATAATAAAAAATATACTATTCATTATATTTTTTTAATTTTCACTAATGTTTTGTAGACACATAATTTTTTTGAACTATTTTGCCCAATACGGGAATCGTATAAGCAGGTGGGGAGAAATGCCTTCGTCGCAGGTGATGTTGAGAAGGACGGATTTGTATCCTGTCGGCTGGGAAAGGTCAAAGGGCAACAGGTCAAGGATGGTGATGTCAACTCCATAGAACAGTCGACTCAATCCAGAGGGGATGCCATGACAGTGTGTCGTGTCACCCGCAGAGCCATAACTGATCCATACTTAAATAGATACACACCATTTTTCTAACTTTTTTTCTAAAATTTTCTTTTAATTTTATACGTAAAGTAGAGATCAAATTACATTATACCATATCAACCAGGGGCGATTTTAGGGGGGTACGCCTCCCCTTTCAGGGATTCGACCCCATGCCGACGCAAAGGGCCCCCCTTTGTGCTATTTTGAGATATCCATTTTTGGCTGACTGACCCTAAAATTTTTCTGAATGCGCCAATATATTATAACTTTGAGTAACTTTGAGGGAGGAGCGCGCGCCGAAAAACACGATTTTTTGGTGAACATTTTCCAAAAGTGCCTAAAACGCCTTTTTTGCCTGTTTTTTTTTTTAAATTTGACTGTGGCGCAGAAAAGTTTGTCAAATTAGGGTCTTAATAGTAATTTGGGTGAGCTTAAAAAATCAATTTGGTCGACCTAAAAAAAAAGGTAGACAAAATTTTCGAAATTTTTTGAAATGAGCCCCACCTCTCTCGAGAAATTCCTAGATCCGCCCCTGATATCAACTAAAAAAAATGGAAAAAATTTGTTTGTCATTTTAGATGAAAGCTTCAAGTTAAGATAAGATGATGTCATTTTATCGCAGAAAGAACCACTGTTAAATAAAGCAATTTTTTTGATGGTTTTTCTGGACTACGTAAAACATTTTTAGCCTCAAAATACGTTTAATTATGACGCAAGAAGAGATAGTTTAGCTTTACCTGCAAAAAATGAAGCAAAAAGACTGAGATTCCACATCATTGGAGTTCCTTTCATTGCATTGATTTTCTTATTTGTGATTTAAGGTCACCAAGAAAGTCAAGTCGGCGGTTTAATATTTACTTTGATTATGCAATGAACTAACATTACCAAAACAAATCTCAATTCAGGAAAACCTTGAATATGGTAAATGTGATGTAAAACACGCTGGTTATCATTCATTGAACCGAACTTTATTAAAATCTAGGCTCTTTTCAGGTTTTCCACTCCCCTCCCACATATTTCAAAATTTCAACTTTCATTGTTGTTTTAGCTATCCCGGGTTGACCTTCATAGACCAAAAATGCTAATCATACAATTCCATAAACTAATTCTATAAAAAATATAGTCATACAAATTTTATACATTTTGCAAAAATGGTGCCATTGAAATTTTGAAGAAATTTTTTCTTGTTTTGGCATAAAATTGTATTGTACTAAATAAAAAAGAAAAACTTTTTGTCAAAAAATTTGCTAATCATACAATTTCCAAATATGGAAAATGTATGACCAATATTTTTTTGATGTCGAAGTAATTTAGAAATTGCCCCAATTTTTTTTAACCGCAAATCGAAGTGTGTACTGAAACAAACATTCTTCAAAAAAAAATTTTTGCATGCAAAATTTAATTTTTTGTGTGTATAACGTAGTCCTGGAGACACTAATATTGAATTTTTTCCTTTTTGCGTAATAACTTTTTCAAAAATACTACAAACTGCTATTTTGTTTTGTATGGCATTGTTATGCATGCTTTGATCAATTTCTCATAATAAAAAAATTCAACTTTTACAAATATTCAACGTTGAAAATTTTTGCTAAAATTTAAAAATTTGTCGTTTACTTTTATTGTTTTAGGTAAGACAGAGTTTTGATGTTTCAGGCCATTTCCAGTGCATTTTGAGGGTGAGACAATCACACCTTTGGTTACTCTACTTTGAGTAACCAAGGTTTCGTCACTTCCCAAAAACGTTTGAGAAATTAAAATTCAAAAAATCAAAACTTCTAGTTTATGGAAAAAAGCAAGTCATACAATTCCCATATAACAAAAATCACTAATCATAGACCTTTCATGTAATTTTCTGTACTTACGGAATTGCATAAAAGTGTAATATTAGCTTTTTTGTCAACCCGGGATCATTATAGCTGAATGCGCGATGCTATGAACAAAGGTATGAGGAACAAATGTGTTCACAATAGTAAGTTTGTTCACCATGCCGAGTTTTGTTGCATAATTACAAGGTAGACCCTGGTTGATCGCTACACAAGGAAAATGCTAGTCATACATTTTCACAAATGGAACTAAAATAAAAAACCAAGAAATTTCTTGACCAGAATATTTTCAAAAATAACGTTTTCTTCTACATTGCAATTCAGAAATTTATCAATCCTATTGCATTGTTCTGAATTGTTTCTGGAATGTACCAGTCAAAATACAAAGACTAGCTATGTTTTTTTATTGATACATTGCTGTCACATTGATAAAACAATTTTTGCAACTGTCTGAACAATTTTTGAAAACAATTCGAAAACCCAATTTTTTTTAAATCCCCATGTCGTAGATTGTGGTAGTAGTTTAAAAGATTCCGTTGTTTTCTTTTTCATTTGTGATTTTGTTTGGGTCAAAAGTCTGCTTTATTTTGTTCAATTTGAAATCAATGTTTTTAAAGTTTTAAATCGATTTTATACTTACGTTAATCTGTAAATTTTTCTGTAATAGATCGATTTCGCATTTTTGTCACTGCGGGCAAGGATTGTCATCATTTTCCAAAATTGTCCAAGTATAAAACATGGACCCTACCCTACATTAACATAATTTGCATCCATGTTTCACGAAAGAACAATATAAATCACATCAATGTTTCAGCCACGATTCATGATAGAAACACCAATTTAAATTGCATCTATGTTTCATGGATGATTCATAGAACTAATATCCATGTGTAAGTCATGATTCATGAATAAAACATCAGTATGGTTTTATCCATGTTTCATAGATGAAACTTGAATGAGCATCGTTAAAGCGGCACTGCAACATGAAGACCCCCTGGATAATATACCTCTCTCAAAAAAATTTTTCCAAACACCAAAATAGTGAGACTCAATTATTACAAAAAAATACCAAAACTTCACCTAGTCATCAGGCAAATTGAATCTTGGTACAAATATAAAACAAAACCAATAAAAGCTGACATCAAAATTTTAATTATTTAAACTTTGCTTCGATATTTCCAAAAGTTTAATAGTGTGGCTATCAACGACAATACTGATTTCTTAGAACATTACACTTCTGTAACAAAACTACTCTGCCTCCCATTAAGCTTAATTTTAATTGCTTTTCGTACGTCACATTCCTTACATACAGAAGGACATGCAGATTCAGAAAAAAAAACATATTCAAACTCACCAAAATATTTTACTTTCCAATTGCACCAATTTGGCTAAAAATATTAAGCAACGGTTGCATAAAATATCAACTAGCTAAAATTTTTCCAAATAAAAAACGATTTGCGGAATAACAAGACTCTAAAGCACAAAGTCTATTTTTCAACCACAGAGTTTCATGTGACACCAAAGGCCCCATATCACCCTCCTCAGAAGCAAATTCGTATATCATGGTAATAGTTGATGCATTTACGCACTATGTAGCACTCAATCCTGTACCTCATTCTAACGCTTATCATGCTAACACAACACTTTACGAACGCTGGATAGTAAAATTCGGACTACCAGAAATCCTTGTCACAGACAATGGAACAGAATTTATAACTAAAGAGATCATAACATTATCCCACCTCTATGATATAAGACATGAACTTAGAGTTTCCCAACCCCCATGGACAAATGGACTAGTAAGGGGCATGAAACGTTCATTACAAGAAAACCTCCGATGTATTATAAACAGAGATGATAAAAAAGTACACCGAATGGTCAACAGACGTTAAGCTGTCTCATTAGCATATGTTTCTCAAAACACAACAACTCTTGGACTATGACCATATAAAATGACTTTTAACCAAAAACCAAATAAACCCAAAACTTTTTAGAGCAAATTCCTCAAAAACCGCAAAAGGTTATTATCAATATAACAAAGATTCAGTTTGTTATAACCTACCACTTCACACTCGTGACAAAGATCATCTTCACCATTCACAAATCTTAAAGTTAGCCTCTGCAACCATACAGAATGGATTGTGAATCGAGATAAAAAAACATACTGAAAATTATTTTAAAATGGCAAAAAAACTGTTATACAAACATTCAATCTCAAAAAAATCAACATCATACCTAAACATAAGAATATTTGTTTCAATACCAAATTTCTGCATCTGGTATTTTTTCATCATTCAAAAAGCAATTTCGAAAAAAATACAACCTATCCATAAAGGATTCTTTCAAATATACAAAAAAACTACAGATGTCACATAGAAACTGATAGATAATAATAAAACAGAATTAATACAACAAAGAAACAATTTTTTACCATACTTTCCGAAGGAATACGCCCTCCGCGAATTAGAACAATTATACTCTTTCGCAGGAATACATCTCGTTGACAACATCGCACCAAATAACATACAACAAAAAAAAACAAAAAACTCTAAATATCTATCTCAACCGACAGATGTATCTCATCTTGATATATCAGACAAACCCCAAAAACAAATAAATCAGAAACAAAGACCGTAAGTTACAAAAACATATTCTCATATCCGAATTTTAAAAAAAATCACAACATCCTCAACCAAGAAATCAACCAAGAAAAAATGTGTAAAATTTTTATCCCACAATCTAAAATACTAAGGAAAGTAAAATTTCAGAAACCCCCATAACTAATTAAACGACATAATGCATTTTATTGAAGCTTTACAGTAATTGTTAATTACAACTATTCATTCTCCTTGTAAAAACTAGTTCAAAATCAACCTATCATTTCGATTTGCAATCATTGTATATCTCTTCAAACGCCACCACTTTTATTAGCCGACACTTCTCCAAGTTGAACTAGATCTGAAACTCTATCTTGAAGACCTCCAGGTCAAAAATAAGCCCCACTCTTCTATTTGACAACCTAAATAAATATCAAATACCCTCTTATCCTCCTACAATTAGAAAACAAGAATTAGAAAGCTAACACCTAAATACCCAGACTTTCTGTCACCAAAAACTCCTCAACTCTAACCCAATCGTCAAACATTAATAGCGAACTAGACCACATTTGCTTCAAATGAAAAAAGTTTAAAAATTTCTTTGACAAGAAAACCATTTTCCGAATGCTTCTTTTCAACTCAGTCAAAGAAAAGAAACTCTTCATTCCATCTCTTTTTTCGACTTTTTTTTGACACAATAATTACCCTTACAATAGCAACAATTTTGCTCATAAATTTTGCAGAAAAATACAATAAAGAACATAAACCTAATTAAATAAGAACAAACAAGATCTATTTCATAATTGCTAATCCAAATACTATCAAAGAATTCCCATCAACCACTACATCCCAAGACCCCCCGACCACGCCAACAACTAGCCAAACAAGCCAAACACCATCATCTACAAGTATCTCATTTGTAGAAAACCCCTCTTTATTTGAAGAAAAGCACGCATCACTAACCAAACCATTAATTTCAAATATTCGTCAAGCACCCCTAAATGAACCACAATACGAACCAACAAATAGCATCTACCACTCACTTCATCAAGACCGTAATAGAACCAGACATCCAAGCAAAACCAAAATTTAACATCTTCACCAGATAGACAAAATATTCACTCCCGACGATATCGAAACTTCATTTGACCAGGAGTCCATTTTAACATACCCTCAACACCATCATCGACCCCTAGATCTTTCCACTAACACAATACAAAGTGCCCCTCCGATAATTCAAACAATTTCCCAACAAAATATCCCAAATGTTCCATCAGAAAAATTAGGTTAAACACCAACCTCTGAACAAATTCGTGAAAATCTTTTTAACCCCCCACTTCCTCGCATAGAATCATTGGATGACAGAAACATTAGATGACACAAACATTTTCCCAAGGTGAACCAAACTTGGTAAGTGAACCCATAGACATTT